ACATACCACATAAAAGAACATGGGCAATGAGACTGACCATCAGGGAATACCAAATGCGAGCTCCTAGGCTGAGGCCTTGCTCGCTGCATGGAAAACTCTTCCATCCGTGTATCGGGAAGGAATGAAATAAGTGGAGAACCATTCCAACCCCCCTGCTTTGGACTATCCTAGAAGACCGCGTCCTCTAATGTGTCAAAAAGTGGCCAGCGGATCTAGCAAGATGAAAAGGAACGCGATTCCCCTTTATCAAAGATCATCCACCAGTGCTGTCAAAGGTATCTCTGTCCCCGTAACCAGGTGTGGAATATTAGTGCTAGAGGTGCAGACGTCACCTAAATTCATTCCAATCAGGCAATGTGTATGCTGCCATTTGATGTATTTTGGAAGACTATCACATCAGGAGCATCTTTATGTGGCAGGTGCAAAGATATTCCTTCTCCCCCCCGCTTTCTTTTAATACAGTTGTTCAAAATGTTGACATTCAATGATCACTGTAATGCATTTTTAATTAAGAAGTATTCACAAATGTACTGTCTTCCATACAATTAGCATAAATTTATAAAAAAAAAGTCAAAGAGAGGTCTAATTAATTACAAGATTTCTTTGCGTACTCTTTGGAAATCTATAACTAATCAGGACAAGACTCCCTTGTAGCAATTGAGGTGTATTAAACCTGAATTTATCTGGGACCTCATTTTGAAAATTGCTCAGGCCTGCTCCTTAAGAGATTGTGTGCTTGTTACAAGCTACTTATTCCGAGTTCCTCTCGCTTCTCTGATAATGGTTTTCTCATTAATGCAATAACTTTGACTGAAGAAAGAAATGTGGTTTTAATGACTACCCACCTTCTGTTGTTTTCATCCAAAAGCCTGACGTATTGTGGATTATTTTTTAGTAGTTGCTGTTCGTGCTTAAAAACAAAATAAACAAAAACCCTTAAAAGTTTTTTGTGTGTGAAGTGGTTGCTGAAAAGGCAGGTAAAGTTTGAACCCCTTCGGTTCTCACCTGAGGTGTTCTGTGGTATCGTGTTCATTAAAGAATGACTGATGCGTTTCAGTTTAAGTACTTTTCTCAGGGTATGCTAGAATTGGATAAGCTCAACTGTAATGTTTCCATTGAAACCGGAACGTTGGATTCCTTCCCAATATGGTTTCCTTCCAAAAATGCTATTAGATTTTATCCTGTTATTTTCTTCTAACCTGTTTTGAAAATTACTTTTATCATCTATTTCAGGGGTGTCTAACTCATTTGTTACGAGGGCTGGATCTGACATAAATGAGACCTTTTTGGGCCAGGGCATGTGTGTCATAAAGTATAATGCCAGGTAGTGGAGATATAAACTTTATAAAGGACACAAACAAAAAGGTTTTTTTTTTACTTAACATAAAAACATGCTTAAAATATTAGCTCTGTAAGCTCTAAACCTATTTTTGATTTATTGACATTCACCACAGAAATCTCGTGCTCAGAGTTCTGAGTCTAGGACCTGGATTAAAATATGAAATGGCTGAGTGATTGAGAGAGTCTGGTGAAGCAAGCTATGATGCAGCAGCAGCAGCAGCAGCACAACTGGAAGCAGGAGATGGCCAGTTCAACTGTGCACCTGATGGAAGCCCTCTGGGGGCCTGATCTGGCCCACGCGCCACATGTTTGACACCTCTGATCTATTTCCTCAACTTGCCTCTTATGGTATAACTGCCATCCCTCTTAGTAGCATGAGCTTTTCTATGCTACGTTTCACTTTCCATTCCTCGAATGCATCTCTCTAGTCTCTTTGTTACATGTGTTGTAAAGCGTCTGACCCGGATGGCCCAGGCTATTCCGATCTTTTTGGATCTCGGAAGCTAAGTAGGGTCGACCCTGGTTGGTACTTGGATGGGAGACCTCCAAGGAAGCTCAGAGTTGCTATGCAGAGGCAGGCAATGGCAAACCACCTCTCTATCTCTTGCCCTGACCTGGTCAGCCCAAGATGAGCCTAATTTCACCAGATATCAGAAGCTAACCAGGGTCAGTCCTGGTTAGTATTTGGATGGGAGACTACCAAGGAAGCCCAGGGTTAACGTAAGAACATAAGAGAAGCCAATGTTGGATCAGGCCAATGGCCCATCCAGTCCAACATTCTGTGTGGCCAAAAATACCAGGTGCCATCAGGAGGTCCACCAGTGGGGCCAGGACACTAGGATCCCTCACACTACTGACCCCCCCCCCAAGCACCAAAAATACAGAGCATCACTTGCCCCGGAGTCCCTATCTATTTTTGTTGTTGTTCAGTCGCACAGTCGAGTCCGACTCTTCGTGACCCCATGAACCAGATCACGCCAGGCCTTCCTGTCTTCCGCCATCCTCTGAAGTTTGCTCAATTTCATGTTCGTTGCATCTATGACACTGTCTAACCATCTCATCCTTTGCCGTCCCCGTCTTCTTTGACCTTCAATCTTTCCCAGCATCAGGGTCTTCTCCAGTGAGTGCTCCCTTCTCATTTGGTGGCCAAAGTATTTGAGCTTCAGTTTCATTATCTGGCCTTCCAGGGAACAGTCAGGGTTGATTTCTTTGAGGATTGACTGATTTGTTCTTCTTGCAGTCCAAGGGACTCTCAAGAGTCTTCTCCAGCACCATAGTTCAAAAGAATCTATTCTTCGGCGCTCGGCCTTCCTTATAGTCCAACTCTCACAGCCATACATGACTACTGGGAATACCATTGCTTTGACCATGCGGACTTTTGTTGGCAGGGTGATGTCTCTACTTTTTATCATGCTGTTTAGGTTCGCCATCGCTTTCCTCCCAAGGAGCAGGCGTCTTTTAATTTCATGGCTGCAGTCACAGTCTGCGGTGATCTGGGATCCCAGGAACGTGAAGTCTGTCACTACTTCCACGACTTCCCCTTCTATTTGCCAAGGAGTGATGGGGCCGGATGCCATGATCTTAGTTTTTTTGATGTTGAGCTTCAAGCCCACTTTTGCGCTCTCCTCTTTTACTCTGAGCAAGAGGCTCTTTAGATCCTTTTCACTTTCAGCCATTAGAGTGGTATCATCTGCATATCTGAGGTTGTTGATCTTTTCCCCAGCAATCTTAATTCCCGCTTGTGATTCATCCAGGCCAGCATTTCGCATGATGTACTCTGCATATATATTAAATAAGCAAGGTGACAGTATACATCCTTGTCGTACTCCTTTTCCTATGCTGAACCAATCAGTTGTTCCGTATCCGGTTCTAACTGTCGCTTCTTGGCCCTTATACAGGTTTCTCAAGAGACATGTGAGGTGGTCTGGTACTCCCATCTCTTTAAGGACCTGCCATAGTTTGTTGTGATCCACACAGTCAAAGGCTTTAGCATAGTCAATGAAGCAGAAGTAGATATTTTTCTGGTACTCTCTTGCTTTCTCCATAATCCAGCGAATGTTGGCAATATGATCTCTCGTTCCTCTACCTCTTCGAAACCCAGCTTGTACTTCTGGCAGTTCTCTATCCATGTACTGTTGAAGCCTAGCTTGTAGGATCTTGAGCATGACCTTGCTAGCGTGTGATATGAGTGCAATTGTGCGATAGTTTGAACATTCCTTGGCATTGCCCTTCTTTGGGATTGGAATGTATACTGATCTTTTCCAATCCTGTGGCCACTGTTGCGTTTTCCAAATTTGCTGGCAAATGGAGTGCAGCACTTTAACAGCATCATCTTTTAAGACTTTGAATAGCTCAGCTGGAATACCATCACCTCCACTAGCTTTGTTGTTAGTAATGCTTTCTAAGGCCCATTTAACTTCACATTCCAGGATGTCTGGCTCAAGGTCAGTGATTATACCGTCGTGTTTGTCAAGGACATTGAGGTCTTTCTTGTATAGTTCTTCTGTGTATTCTTGCCATCTTTTCCTAATCTCTTCTGCTTCTGTTAGGTCCCTACCGTTTTTGTCCTTTATCATGGCCATCTTTGCATGGAACGCTCCCTTGATTTCTCCAATTTTCTTGAAGAGATCTCTAGTCCTTCCCATTCTATTGTTTTCTTCTATTACTTTGCACTGTTCATTCAGGAAGGTCTCCTTATCTCTCCTTGCTGTTCTCTGGAAATCTGCATTCAGTTGGGTAAATCTTTCCTTTTCGCCTTTGCCTTTTGCTTTCCTTCTTTCCTCTGCTATTTGTAAAGCCTCATCAGAAAGCCACTTTGCTTTCTTGCAGTTCTTTTTCTTTGGAATGGTGGTGATTGCTGCCTCCTGTACAATGTCACTGGCCTAGTGGTTTTCCCTATCTATCCCTTGTGGCTAATAGCCACCGATGGACCTCTGCTCCATATGCTTATCTAATTCCCTCTTGAAGCCGTCCATGCTTATAGCCACCACCACCTCCTGTGGCAGAGAATTCCATTTGAATTCTATGTTGTTATGCAGAGGGCAGGCAATGGCAATCCCCCTTTTTAGTTGCTGTGGATTTTCCGGGATGTGTGGCTGTGGTGTTGGCATTGTAGAACCTGACGTTTCGCCAGTAACTGTGACTGGCATCCTCAGAGGTATAAACACAGAAAGATGGAGTGCTCTCTGTGTCAAGCAACTAATGAACTCCGGCCGTTAAAGCCTTCGACAACATAGCAAACCACCTCTGTTTGTCTCTTGCCTTGAAACCCCTACGAAGTCATCTGAAGTCTCCTGCAACTTGACAACCCTTTCCAGCACCAGCTTCTTGGCTGGCTTGTGTTCTGAAGTTTCTTATTAGCATGACGTGTTAGTAAAATGGCAAAAGCTATAGCAGTCACATGCCCTTAGAAAAAGGAGAAAAGAAGCTACTGTGCTGAGGACTTTTCAGAGGAAATGTCATTCCCTTGTTGGATATTTTTATTCATTCATAAGTTTAAGCCCCGGTGTGGAAACAGAATTCTGGGGACCCACCCTGGTCCCGGAGAGGAATGGAAATGCTGCTTCTAATGCCAGTGCCTTGAATATATGGGGCTGCCGGCCTTCAGTGGAAAGCTCACCCTATTTCTTTTTTGGTTTTTCTTGTTCCCGTTTTGACAGAACCGAGATGGCTTGAAAGGCATCCTAAACTCCTATGACAGTGAGCTGCTGCACTCCGCCGATCACTCTCCTCAGCTGATTGCCCGCCTGGAAGAGGCCGAGGACATGGTGCAGAAAGTGGAAGCCCACACTGCGGAAATGGAGGTAAGGTGCGCGGCACGGACCTTGTGGCGTTTCCGGCAGTACCCTCCAGTGTGTGGGGCAGGAGGTCACTCTGGAGTGACCAGTCACTCTTACAACCAAGATAAGTTCTGTAGCCCCATTATTTAAAATTTCTCAGCTGCCTCTAAGTCAACAGCCTTTTCATTATCGATGTACAGATTTCTTATCGTATAGCAGGGGTGGGGGCAGAAAGGGGCAACCAAAATAGGTCCCTTTTTGACTCTTTGTATGCCTCCTCTTCATTACAGATTTATAGGTTTCCTATAGTATTGGGGGGGGGTGAGAAGGTCACTCAGGAATGATGGGTCACTCAGGAGTGATCAGTTACCCCAACAACCAAAACTGGTCTCTATGACTCCTTGACTGCCTCTGCTCAACAGGTGTTTTATTATAGAGTTATAGGTTTCCTAAAGGGAGGAAGTGGCTCAGAGGTTAAGACACTGAGCTGCAGATTGGAAGGTCAGTAGTTCAACAGTTCGAGACCCAAGTGGTGCATGACGGAGTGAGCTCCCATCTCTGGCTCCAGCTCCTGCCAACCTAGCTGTTTGAAAGCAAGAAATTGCAAGTAGATAAATAGGGACTGCTTCGGTGGGAAAGATAACAGCGTTCTGTGCGCCTCGGCATTTAGTCATGCCGGCCACATGGCCATGGAGAAGTCTTTGGACAGTGGTGGCTCTTCGGCTTGGAAACGGAGATGAGTGACAGCCCTTCAAATACTTAAAGAGGGCAATCATGTCCCTCCTTAGCCTCCTCTTCTCCAGACTGAACCTTCCCATGTCCCTCAGCCTTTCCTCACAGGGCTTGGACTCCAGGCCCCCGATCATCCCCGTCGCTCTCCTCTGCACCCGCTCCATTCTCTCCACATCCTTTTGGAAGGGAGGCCTCCAGAACTGCACATGGTACTCCAGGTGTGGCCTGACCAATGCAGTGTACAGTAGGACAAAGACTATGACTTGACGCCCCCCCCCCAAAGCGTCTAGAAACTTGTTGAAACGGAAAGCCTGCCCCTCCCTCTCTTATAAGAGCTACTCGCTCACAATTACCAGATAGAACAGGATGGCTTTCAACATAGTTTTACCCGGTCTTTTATGAGAAAAAAATGAATAGGGACAGATTTATTGTTGCGTTCTGCCAAAGAGTTACTTGCCGTATCCGTTCATCGTCTTGTGCAGTGCTGGTTAGGGTTTTTGCTTGTTTTTCGCTCTCCCGCTGTTCCTTGTTAAGGACGGCTTGGGTACCTCGGTTCTCTCCGTGCTCTCTCAAACATGTCGGTCCTCGAGGTTTTCAATGCCATTTTGCTTCTGACTTCTCAAGTTTTGTTAGCAGGTGTCCCTCGCCCCCCCCCCCCCAAAAAAAGAAAAAGAATACAAAACGAGGGCTTTTTCTAAGCTAAAGTGTTTTGAGTTGAGCAGCTGTTCAGAGTTGGGCTGAACAATATCTGATGATAATGAGAGGTTGGTGAATACAATACGAGGAAAAACAGGAATAGAGCATGAACGGCAGGGGCGTGGTATTTTGATCCGAGAGAATGTTCGAGGAAGCATTCGTAGGGCACGTCTGTCACTGGATGTTCGAGGAAGCGTTCGTAGGGCACGTCTGCCGCTTGTCTGAAGTAAGGGTGCTACGAATGTTGCTACAGATGAGTTCAGATGTCAGGCTCACCATGCTCAAAGGTGGCAGTCAGATGTGAGGCCTTCACTTGGTCTGTTGGGTTTGTGCTGAGCATCTGCAAGCACCCACCCAACTGGTTTGCACAGGAGTTTTCCCCAAACAACTCATGGCAAAGACACCACTCATTCAGACTGATTACTGGCTGTCGGCGTCACTAAGAATTACTTGGACTGGTGGTTCCCAACCAGTGCTCCTTCTAAGCCGTGGAGTCTTGTGAGCAAAAATTCTACTTTGTGAGCTACTGGCATTAAAGTTGTGAGTGGACGATTCTCCGGTGGTCCAGTAGTGGGGCAGTCCTTGACTACTTACTCCTGGGAAAGCACCTCCCCCTTCCGAAGGCAGGGCCGGCAAACTTTGATCCCGGAGGGGAGGGGCTTATCCTCTGGTCTTACCAGCCCTGCCGTCTGAGCAGGACATGCTGGCTGTGCTCTGAAGAGCACGAAGATCCCAGAAGACACAGGAAGGTCAGAAGAAGATGCTGCGGCCAGTCTGTTGATGGGTCTTCCTAGTAGGGACCAGATCCAGCCTGTGCTAAAAGCGCTGCACTGGCTGCCAATAGCGTACCGGGTTTGCTTCAAAGTGCTGGTTCTTACCTTTAAAGCCCTTTATGGTCGGGGTCCAGCTTACCTAAGGGACCGCCTTTCCTCATATGTTCCCCCACGAACACTACGGTCTGGGACGCAACACCTCCTGGCGAAGCCAGGTCCCAAAGAGGCCAGCCTGGCCGCTACCAGGGCCAGGGCTTTCTTGGTGGCGGCTCCTACCTGGTGGAATGAGCTCCCGGAGGAGATCCGGGCCCTGCGGGACCTCGCACAGTTCCGCAGGGCCTGTAAGACGGAGCTCTTCCGCCAGGCGTATGAGTAGGAGCCGCCACTACCATCACTACTGTTCCATCATAACCTGGCTCTGGAAGAAGGAACATCACCGTTTTCTGGAACAGATGACACTGAGTAGGTAGAGCAGTTGTAATAAGCCATCGGGTGGAATATCATGTTAGAACATTCAGAGCACTTTTGTTAATAATAATGTTATTGTACTGTAGTGATTTTAAATGGTTTTAAATATGTTTTATATTGGCTTATGCCTTCGTGTAAGCCGCCCTGAGCCCGCGTAGCGGGGAGGGCGGGGTATAAATTCAATTTATAAAATAAAAATGAAATAAATAAAAGAGGGCAATGGGTGAAGGTACTTACCTTCCAGCCCTAAAACATATTCGAGAGCTGCGGGCCTCGAATTATAATGGATCCGGCGCCGGCAACCCTGGGAGGCCCCCAGGCAGTCGTGGCGCCGAGAGGAACGCCTTGGACCCTGCTGGGAAGGCGGTGGTAAACCGCTCCCCCCCTCCATCTTGCTGCGGCAGCGGGCAGCGGGCAGCGGGTTTGGGGACAGACGCTCAGTGAAGAGCCTGGGGAGAGCAGAGGCAAGAGAGGTGGCCGAGGGTGGCGCGGAAACTCCACCTCCATCCCTTTCGGAGTTGGAACAAAGCCCCCCTCCTTGTTCCAGATCGTGGCGAAGATGGACACGGCTCCTGCGCAGTCTACCCGGTCGGTTGAACCACGGTAGGACTGTATCCATTGAGAACTGGCAAGGTGTGGAGGGGGAGAGAGAAAGAGGATTACCCCCCCTCATCCAGTTTTCTTTTCCCCGCCCTTTACTCCTTTCCTCTGTATCTGGATGGGAGGTTCTTTAAAAGGACGAATTGCTTCTGGTCCATGGGTCAGGTTTCTAGCAGGGACATTTTACAGTCCTTATTGCTGGGCCTTCGGGAAAAGGAGCAACAATAAACAGCCTACTACTTCCCCACCGGGTTCGGCTGATGTGGGTGGGGTAGGGCTCCATTTTGGAGTTCTGGTAGGAGAGTGATGGTGGCTACTTTCACTTTCAGGTTCCCCTAAAATGGCTGAGTAGGCGGGAACATCTAGCTCCCAAGGCACAGAGAGTCTTAACCCTTCACAGACAACCAATATAGACTCCCAAAATACTGAGCCCTCAGGAGAGGGAGCCCAGTCAAATTTCTCTCCTGGCTTAGAGAGGAAATAAGAATTCACTGATCTAGGGCAACAGGCAGCTTCTTCCTAAGTTACTGACCTCTCTGCTAAAAGAGACAGGAGTCCCAGTACAGAGGGCAGCCCTCCTCCTAGAAATACAGGCCTCCCAAACAGAGCAAAGGGTGCACACCTATTGTTAGGGATATCAGATCGCTACAAATTCTGAGGATTTAGTGCCAGAAAAAGGCAAGCAGGAGGAGAAGCAGTGCCTATCATTCCATCTAGATTCTTCCTCATAATCTCTACACTGGAATGTGGGCTACGGTCATCAGGGCACTAGAGCTTACATACACTCCAAAGATACAGGAAGAAAAGGAGGATCCTGGTTTTTCTTGTGGGCTCTGACAAAGCCATTCCCAAGACTACTACTAAAACTGCAGGTGTGCCGCTTCCTGCGGCATTTTACAATATCATTATGGCAGAATGGGAACACCCAGCCAATCCAAAGTCTGGGAAACCCAGAGTTTAACAAACTCTGCTCTCTTATTCCAGGAGCCACAAAGAAGTTCAAACTTCCTATGGTGGATGATTCAATTAACTTATCAGCGTCTGCTTTCTATTTCCCGTGGATGCTGATGGACTCCCAAAAAAGACAAGGGAGTTGAAAAGGCACTGTGTAGAGTTTTTTGAGGTGCCTGCCATCTCCCTTAGAACATCAGCTACGGGATCCCTGTTTGCTCGAGCGGCCTACCTGTGGGCCTCAGAGCTAACTTCTGTAGACAGTGACATACCAAAGAGCCTTAAGGATGAGCTAAAACAGATAGCTCTAGCCACAGCATTTGCGGCAGATGCCTCTTTGGATGCCATACAACTCACAGAGAGGGCTATGGCACGTGACTGCCAGGAGAAATACGTGGCTGGGGCACTGGAATGCAGATCTAGCAACAAGGGCCAAGGTGGCAGTGGTATCTCTCAAGGGAGTTAAACTTTTCAGAGCAGGCCTGGAATGTTACTTGGTCAAAGACAAAGGCAAGTCACGGGTGCTACTGTCAAAGAAGAAGGATATGAAATCTAGAAGGAGACCACAGTCCTTTTGAGACCTCAGTCGTGATGATAAACAACAAAAGTCAAACGGCATAACAAGTCTAGAGATAATAGGTCATTCGCCCTCACAGGAAAATCCAGACAAAATGTTAAAGGACCCAAGAAGGGAACTT